GACCGTCAGGAAGGACAGATTCAAGTGTGAGCTCCTGTTGGAAAGTGGGTGAAGACGTCTTGTGGTCCAGCTAACCCACCAAAGAGGGCAGAGCCCACATGCCTGCTCCCACCCCAGGCTGGCTCCCCACAAGGGCCTGGCAGGGTTAGCAGGGCTGGAGCCCAAGGGGGCTGGCACCTGGTGGGTATGAAGCCACCACCTCTCCTTATTAGGTCAGGCTGTCCCGATGAAAAGAAACAGCAAGGAAGAGAAAGAAGGGGCACATAGGGGGGAAGAAAAGCCAGAACAAGAGCAAGAGGGAGGACAGGACTTGGAATAAAGAGGGAGTGAGTGGAGGGAGCAAGCAAAGCAAAGAAAGAAAGGAAAGAGAAAGAGAAAGAGGAAGGAAAATGCCACGTCCGGCTGCACCAGTCAGCTGCCGCTGGGCCTCCCTGGTCCAGGTGGATGGAGGCTCTGTCCTGGCCTAATGGAAGGGTGGGAGCCAGGTAGCAAGCTGGCAGCCTGGCAGCTGCCTAGACGGGGCAGGAGGGGCGCTGCCAGACGTGGTTTCCTCCCACCAGGCTTCTCCGCGCTGTCTCTGGCACTCAGCTCCTAACCGGCACCTGGCTCCCCGTCCCCCGGCACAGGGCACTTTCTCTGAGGTTCTGGTTAGGTCTGGATACCCACCGCTTCTGGAACCAGGACTCCACTCTGATTCAAAGCCACTGTGGGAGCTGCCCCAGAGGGCCAGGAGGAGCGGCAACAAACAGGGAACCCACTGACCAAGCGCTTAGAGCCTGGTCATCTCGGAATCTGAGAAACCATTACCTATCTATTAATCAGTCTTTTAAAACTCACACTTTTGTGGGAAAGCACATATTAAAAAAAACAATAACAACAAGAAAAGCCGGGCTGGGAATACAGTGTGGCGCTAACATGGTGCCTGCCTGGCAAGTGCAAGGTCCTGAGTTCAATTCCCAGTACCAAAAGGAAAACAAAATCAAAACTACCAACCAAACAAACAAAAAGCCCTGCAAAACAAAAAGTAACCACCACCAAAGGCTCCTGTGGGTACAGAGCTCCAGAAGGGAACTGGAGGCTGCAAAACCCTGCCTAGAGGTTTTGTCACCCAAAACACAATTTGACCGTCAGCCCGCAGGGGTTTGAAATGACTCAAAACGAAAGTCCACACTTGGCGTGGAAATTTTCATAAACGAAAGGGTCACAGAGATCAGAAAACACGAGAGACTTGGTCTCTTGGAAAGAGTGACCTGAAAGCAAGAATGAGGGACAAGGCGACCCAATAAGCCCAGGATCTCTGTTCAGACCGCGGTGCAGATCTCTCTCATACGCATCCAGGCCAGGGTGCAAGGCAAGGCGCACTGTGCGTTCCCAGTTGCCCCCTCCGGCCCGCCCGCCAAGCGAACACCACTGTCACTGCCTCTACCGAAGGGCCCTCGAGGGCCGGGGCAGCTGGAACCGCGGCCGTAAAGAAAGAAAATGGGGTGGGACTGGGCCCCGTAGGCAGCGCCCTGGGGAGAGGAACGGCCTGGACGCGGGGCTGCTGAGCGCACAGCGGCCTCCCCGGCCCCCTAGTCCATCCGGGGGTCGTTTGGCAGACGGTACCCAGAGTCGAGGCGACCCCTCCACGGGAACTTTCTCTCCACCCCGGGCCCAACTTCGTTTTGTGGAGCAAGCTACAAACCCGCGCCAAGCGCAAGAGGTGACGCGAAGATAAAAGCAGGCGACCGGGCAGGGCTAGCGGGCAGCGCTCCCTCCGAGAAACCCCCTAGTGGGGACTGGGGCGCGGACCTGGCCAGCGTGGCGACCTCCGCCCCCGCGTCCCCGTCTGCACCTCGCTCGGGCACGCTTCGCACACGCCGCGGATGCGGACGGGCATTGGGACGGGTTTGGGGGCTGCAGGGCAGCAGAGTCTGAAATGCGCACTCGGCTGGCTGCGAGGCCGCACGGAGAGGGGACCCTTTTCCTGCAGCTGACGCCGCGGTGGCCGGGGCGCAGCACGCGGACGACAGCCCGAGCCCGAGCACCGCTGCCCGGCAGCCGGGACGGGCGGGCGGGGCGCGCGCTGAGGTCACCTTTTCCACTGTGCGCGCGCACGGTTTCCGGGATTTTCGCGGCGGCGGCGGCCTCGGCGGTCCCGGCGCGGGCTGCTCGGCGGCCCCGGGGTGGGGATTTCCCTTCTCAGGGTGTCGTCGGTTCGGAGGGGGACCCTGGTCTCTACGAACCGCTTTCGCCGCCAACGTCGCAGCGCCGCGACACTTCCTGCGAAGAGGGGGCCTCGCCGCAGTTCGTTTTCGTTTTTTCGTCTGAAAGGGGTTCATCTGCGCGTTGGCTGGAGGGTCGGGCAGGGGGAGACAGCCCTGGGGCGGGCGGACGAGGGGCCGAGCCGCAGGGGTGGGCGTCTTTGGAGGGGTCGCAGAAGTGGCACGCCCCGGGCCAACCGTCAGCGGCCTCGTTCTCCCCGCAGAACCCAGGCCGAAGCCTGGGCAGCAGGAAACAGCTCTGGCCTGCGTCCAAGGAGCTGGGGGAGGGGGGACGACACCCAGGGTACGAGTGAGGCACCGGTCTCTGACTCCTCCCAACCTAGAGCTGAGAACCTCCGGCTTGAAAACTGCCCCCTCCTCAACCTGACCAAGGCGCTGCCTTGGGAGGCGCGGGAGTACTAAATTTAGCTGTGAGAGCTGATCAACCATTGGAGTGGCCCTTGGGTCTTTTGATACAGGACCTCAGAGCTTAGCGCCAGCACAGGAGACCCTCAGGCTGCAAGTGGTCAGGCACAGGGGGTTCATTTCTGGGTGGCTTCGGTCTGGAGCGAAGAGGGGAGGAGTGGGGGAGGGGCTATCTGGATTTAACAGGCAGAGAAGCCACCCCTAAGCTTTGCTCTGGGAAGCTGAGGAGGAGGAACAGGAGGAGGAGGAGGAGGCGGTGGCAGGCAGGCAGGTGGGCTCTGCAGGGCTCAGCAGGGTGGAGACCAGGAGGAAGAGTCTGAGCCCCACCTGTCCAGGGGACCACATAACCCCAGTCCTACTTCACTGGATGGCCGGGTCAGCCTGTGCCTCTTGCTGGAAGTAGTGGGAACTTCCCATCTAGGCAGGGGTGCACTGAGCTACTCATAGGGTGACTGAAGAGCCCCAGCTTAGATGGGGCCGAAGGCACTAGATTTCTTGTTCTCCAGGTGGAAGGTGAGGTGATTACTATGTCAACAGAGACGGGCTGGCCCCATCTGTCCTCCTCTAAGAGCCCCGCATGCAGGCCACCACTGCTGTTAGCGGTCTGCCAGCGCCCCTTCCCAAGAGCCTCAGCAAACCACCTTTCAAAACGTGGAGCAATTGCAGGTCACCTTCAGTCGAGGCAGGACCTCGAGGCTTAGAAAGTCACTCACAGCTAGGGAGGGTGGCAGCAGCAGAGCTTCTCTTACCTCGCCCGCCCTCCTTACCGTGGGGCTTGGCCATCTCCTGGTCTCGCCGAGCTAGCTGGGTGTCAGCGACCGCAGCTGGAGGACACCAACCTGGGGGAGGGACAGGCCACAGGTTTGACAAACCTCATCTCCTAGAGGTAGGGACCAAGGCCCGGCAGAGCTCACACAGACAGGAGGAGTGGCTCAGACACCAGCGGGGCCAGGTGCTGATTGGCATAGGAGCTCCCAGAGCAGGGAGAGGAAAGGGGACTCCTAAACCAAATTCTCCCCAGCCATCCTGTGGGGCCCATGGCCCTTCTCCCTTAGTCCTGAGGACCTCATTGGAGCCCTGTCCTCTCTCCTCCAGCAGATCCAGAACCTTAGGCTCAGGAGGAGGGACCCACTTGCCCAGCAGTGGCAGCTCCTGAGGCAGAAACTTAGCGGAGGGTTTGGCTTTGGAGTTGTGCACCCGCTGCTTGGGACTGCACCCCCTAGTGATGGAGAAGAGAGCACCGATTTCCTCAGTGGGGTAGGGTGGGAGCCAGCACGCAGGCAGGCGAGCATGAAGACACACACACACACACACACACACACACACACCACACACACAACCTGCCACGCCCGGTAGCTCTTCCTCTGGCTCCCATCCGCCAGGTAACGGTTTCTCTCTGCTCCAAAGCTGGGGAAGGTGAAAGCGCACCCTATCTCTCCCTCCTTTCCATCTCTCCCTCTAGCTGGAGCACATAACCCAGCCCACAGCGTCCAGAGGTTGCCAAGGAGAAAGTGTCCACTTATCGCCAGTACTTGCGACTCAAGCAAATTCTGGCTGGAGAATTTTGTCCTTTGAGGGAGGCTCGGGAGAAATGAGCCCGGGTGCGGTAAACTGAGGCTGGGAGGGACAGAGATGCTGAGGACCGACACCTCTGGGTTGCACCTCTGTCCGCTGCTATATCCCTAAGAGCGTACAGCCAGAGATTGCGAAGGCCACCCCCGTTCTCTTTCTCCAGCCGAACTGCACGCCCTTTGCCGATCCATGCTTTCGAGACCGTTCCAGGGCCGGCCGCCGGCCCCGCCGCTCCCGCTGCCCGCCGCCGTGTGCCCTCCGGCACGTCACGGCCCGACTGCGCTCGCGCCTCTCGGTCTCTCTGCGCACGTCTGGGCGGCGACGGGCACCCCGGCTTCGCAGACGCTTCCCTCGCGTGGCCCTCGCTGTCTCCCTGGGGACCCCTCGCTCACCTCCCTCTCGGTGCCTCCGCCCCGCTCTCCGCTGCGCTTTCGGGGCGCGCGCTCCGCGGGCTCTGCCCGTGCCGGGCCCCGGCCCCGTCTCGGCCGGCCCCGCGCTCGCCGCCCGCTCCCTCCCGGCCTGCGCCTCCCTCCTCGGCGCCTCCCTCCGGCTCTGCCCCGGGATGGGGGGCGGCGGCGGGGGCGGGGCGCCGGGCGGGGCGGGGCGGGGCGGTGACGCGGGGCCGGCGGGGCTAGAGGCGCGGCGGCGCGGGGCGGGGGCGCAGTCCCGGGTTCGACTGGCCGAGCCCCGCGCGCCCCGCCCGCGCCCTGCGCCTCCGCCCGGCCGCTGGCGGGGGAGGGGGCATGAGCCGGCGGCCGCGCGCCACCGGGAGCTGCGGGCCGGCCTAGAGCCCCGCGATGCAGCGGCCCGGAGAGCCGGGCGCCGTGCGCTTCGGCCCGCCCGAGGGCTGTGGCGACCACCGGCCGCACCGCTACCGCAGCTTCATGATCGAAGAGATCCTCACGGAGCCGCCCGGGCCCAAGGGCGCCGCGCCCGCCGCCGCTGCTGCCGCCGGCGAGCTGCTCAAGTTCGGCGTACAGGCGCTGCTGGCGGCGCGGCCCTTCCACAGCCACCTGGGTACGTGCGGCCGCCGCGGGGCTGCGGGCCGAGCGGGGCGGGAGGGAGCCAGCCGCGCCGCGGCGCCTCGGGGCGCCCACCCTGCTGCTCCACTGCAGTCCAGCCGAGGCTTGACCCGCCTCCGAGCGCGCAGGCCCGGCCACCTCTCCGGCGCTCGGCTGGGAAGCGCAGGGCGCAGGCCATGGGCTGCGCGTAAACCAGGCCTCGTGCCCGCAGGCCGGCCCAGGGCGGGCGTCTGCTCCCTGCTTCAGGGCTGCTCTGCGGCCCCTGCACCGGCTAGGAGGCCGCGCCTGGAACCGGAGTCTCCATCCCTGTCCATCACAGGCTTGAAACCGGCGGGCCTATTGCTAGGGATCCACAGGACATCAGATGGCGGGCGCCTGGGCTTCCTGACCAGGAGTGGCCTCCACTCCTCGAGCCAGGAAGCTGGGACCTCCGGAGAAAAGGCCCAAGTCTCTGAACGTGGAGTGGACGTTGTCCCAGGCCTTCCCAGAGCCTCTCTGAGCCCAGGGCACTCCAGCAGGCAGCAGACCAGTCCTCCCTGGGCCTGCAGAGCAGACCTGCCAGTGTCTTGCTGGTGGGCAAGAGGCCTCTGTGCGCTGCTGGTGGCCCTAACACTTCCAGGTTGGCTGAGCCTCAGGGGAGCTAGCATGGCTCAATCAGACCTGTGTGCCTCTGCCCGATCATTCTTCTTCCTCCAGGTCCTGCCTGTCCTGCCTGCCCTCTGGGCTCTGCTCCATCCCCTTCATGCCGTCCTCTTCTCCCCCTCTTTCTTTTAGTGGACACCTGGCCTGCCTTTTCCCCAAGGACCGCTCCTCCTCCCACGTTTACCTGTTCTTCAGCCGATCCCTTGAGGACTACAGCTGGACCAGGAGGGGCCCCAGAGTGAGGAGTCCAAGGGGGACAAGGCTGGCCGATCACCCCAGCCCCACAAGCCACCTTCCCGGCAGGGCCAGCTTGCTCCAAGTTCATCTGGAGCACAGCGCCAGAGCTGCCGTTCACTTACTTCTGCTTGTCGTTAATCATTCGTTTGAAGCGGGCAAAAGATCATTTTGGGATTCAGGAACATGTAAACGTCCTCCCTAGGAAGAGCCCGAGCATAGAAAACAAAAGCTACGATTTTCAGGTTCGCAGAGTGCTTCGGAATTTCCGGGAAGCCCCAACCCGTCCCTGTGGGACACCCGGGCTACAGCCGACCCAGGGCTGCGTGACCCAGGGCTGTGTGTGGAACACGGGAGCAGATGTGCGGGGCGCTGCTGCGTCCTGCTCTTTTCCGAGGGCAGCAGTGTAGGTTTGGTTTGGGGCAGTAGCCCGTGTTCCTAACTTACAGCCGTTTCTTCTTGGTTTCCTTTTTTTCCACGAAACGCAATGCTCGACTCTTGGAGCTACGAACTTGTTCCTGCAGAAGCTCGAAGTCTTAGTGGCGACCCAGGCCTGGGAAGGCCAGGGCAGCCTCGGGGTGGGGCGTCCTTCCTTCCAGACTCCCAGGGAAGGAGCCTAGAGGGGGTCACCTGGCGTGTGCACTGGGTGACCTCAGGCTCCTCCGGGCCGGCCGGCATGTGGTCCAGGAACTTCAGAGACCGAGGGTCGCAGACTCCAGCTCACCCGACTCCCTACACTCTCTCTCCCCGCAGCGGTGTTGAAGGCCGAGCAGGCAGCGGTGTTCAAGTTCCCGCTGGCGCCACTCGGCTGCTCTGGGCTGGGCTCCGCACTGTTGGCCACGGGGCCTGGGCTTCCCGGAGCCGCGGGTGCGGCGCACCTGCCTCTGGAGCTGCAACTACGCGGGAAGTTGGAGGCATCGGGCCCCGGGGAGCCGGGCACAAAGGCCAAGAAGGGGCGGCGCAGCCGCACGGTGTTCACCGAGCTGCAGCTGATGGGCCTGGAGAAACGCTTCGAGAAGCAGAAGTACCTCTCCACGCCAGACAGGTAGTGCAGCCACTCCGGGTTTGGGGGGGGGCGGGCGGGAGGAGCTCAGGCACTGGCCCGCTCAGGGTGCGTTCTGCTCTTTCCAGAATAGATCTCGCCGAGTCCCTTGGCCTGAGCCAGTTGCAGGTGAAGACCTGGTATCAGAATCGGAGGATGAAGTGGAAGAAAATAGTGAGTGTGTGCGGTGGCTGCCCGCGCGCCCGCTGTTTCCCAGCCTGTTCCCCGAGCACTCCAGGAGACGCTCCTCTCCGCTCTGCTCCTCTGCTCCGCAGACAGAGACCTCCTCCGTCCCTTGTGGTTCTCTGGGTGCCTGGGGTTCATGAGGGCCCTCGTGGGTTTTTCAGTCCCTTTGGCCGGCCTGGTGGAGCTAGCTATCTCTTCCTGTCCCTTTGCACTCTCCTGGGCTTTTGGGCAGCCTCAGGTCCTCTCTGGATCCTGAGGCCTCCGTTGGGCCACAACGCCCAGGCAAATGTCTGCGGTGCTAAAGGCCCGGGGTCCTTCAGCCCATCCTAGGTGCTGGGCACAGGTGTCCCTGGGGCCTCCTGGCTCACCACAGTCCTGGTCATTCTCCATGCAGGTGTTGCAGGGCGGCGGCCTAGAGTCCCCCACCAAGCCCAAGGGGCGGCCCAAGAAGAACTCCATCCCCACGAGCGAGCAACTCACTGAGCAGGAGCGCGCCAAGGAGGCAGAGAAGCCAGCAGCGGAGGTGCCGGTGGAGCCCAGCGACCGCAGCCGCGAGGACTGAGCCTGGCAGAGGGTGCGAAGCCGGGGACCCTGCGCCGCGGCCCCTCAGCCCGCGGGAACCCACAAGCCGACCCTTCTGTGTCCACGCCGTTTGCCTTCTAAATATTTTATTATTACTCTGAATGCGGACAATTAGGGGCCCAACGGGGAAGGGACACAGACCCTGAAGCCAAACCCAGGCGCACCTGGTCCTAACCTGGGTGAGTCGTGAGCCGCGTGGCAGAAGTCACTGTCTTTCCCGGAGCTCCGCGGAGCGGCGCCCCATGTGCATTCACGCCCAGCTCCTCACCCACACCCTTGCCTGCGGCCACCTCCGGTCCACACAGCCAGGCACATCTGCTTCCTGTGCGCAGGCCGGGGACCCAGCAGCCTGAGCGGGCCGCCAGCAGGATAACCAGACTGGTTGGCCAGAGACCGGGTCCCCGAGATCACTGGGGCTCCTACCCCCCTCTTGCGAAGATGATGACTTTTTTCCAATAAAATATTTTATGACACAGTTGGGCTTGGTGTGGGGCTTGAAGAGGGGTGTGAGGTGGAGGGCTCGGTGGGGAGCTAAGAAAGGTGCTCCCTGGGGCTTCTAAAACAGCCTTTCTATGGCACTGCGGAGGAGGGAACCACACCCAGGAATCACTATAGCTCTAGGCAGGAGGGATCCCTGTGAGCCCTGACCTTCCCAGCCCCTGTCTCAGCAGGCGAGAGCTGTCCACTGGGCCAGCCAAGGACCTAGGACTCCCAGCAGCCTGGGTAGGTGGTTGTCTCCTGAGACTTTGACTGAGCAATGTGCAGTCCTGGAGTTGGTCCTGATGGGCCCTTTTGGAGGTGGATGGGAAGCACCGGGTTTGACATTCCTAGAGGCCAGCATCCAAGGCAGACCTTGCTTCCCTGGGTCCCCACATTATTTGTTGTTTGTGGTCTAGGAATGGGGTGGAGGGCCTGCCTGTGCGGAGACAGGACCTCTGGCAGTGAGGGCCTCTGACCAGCGCCCTCCAGAGAACAGCAGCTAAATGCCTGAGCCGGGGTTGAGGCGTACCATTTAACGGGGTTGGGAACGCACTCTTGACTGGGAGGTCTCCAGGGCCTCGGAGCTTGCAGGTGGTTCTGTTCTTCGGTGGCTGGGGGGATGGATGATGAGGGCTGAGGATCCAGATGCAGAGGGCTACTTTACTTTACCAGCAGTCGCTCAGAAAGGGGACACAGCTAGGTCGAACGAAGTTTCAAGCAGGACCAGGGTCCAAAGCCAGGTTGCTCCAGTCCCCTGAACGAGGGACAGGCTAGTCAGGAACATGCATACTTACTCAACCCAGGCTTAGGTGGCTCTGTAGCAGTGACCTCTGTTGCCCCCACCCATCGGGATGAGGGCTTGTTCTACACACAGGATGGTGGGTGCTTTTCTAGAAACCGTGGCTGGACCTCCCCGCCCCAGCATCTCTACCCTCAAGGCCCGGGGGGAATGAGAGGCAGAGATGAGGAGGAGCCAGGAGCACATACTTCCCGAGGGCTGCTTGCCACCGCCATTCTCTCCGCCCTATCAAGTCAATGGAAAACCATCGCTCGCCAGCTCAGGGCTCTTCATTCAGGCCTTCGTGGACTCTCAGACTTCCACCCGGGCTCCCCACGGGGCCCACAGAAGACGGCTGCCTTGGCTGCTGGAAGGAGGAATCTTCAGTGTGTCGCTGTGCCTCCAGTCTCTCGCAGCCCTAGCTGTACACACACACACACACACACACACACACACACACTGCAGCTCAAATCTAGTGATGCTGGTGACTTTTTTCACACAGATCCCCAGGTGACTTGGGTGGGACAGCAAAGTGAAAGAGGACATTCTCTCACCAAGAGAGCTGCCTGAGATTTGTGAAAGGAGAGTAGAAATCACAGACCCCCTGGTACTTATACTCACTTCTATTTTTGCATTTCAGGAATTCCAATTTTTGTTAGATTAGCGCTGTGTGCATTTAAGGTGTTTTTCAGGGCTTCCTTCCCCTCACTAGCCTGGACCCAGAGGTGGTGGACGGATAATGGGACTCTAGTGACAGATTGCAAGGGCCCCCAAATTTCTGCAAGTACAGCACCCTGTAGGCACAGAGGGGGTATCTTTCTCAGGAACTCTGGTTCCTAGGTCAGTTTTGGGTAACCGGGGGAACATAGGCCTCAGATGAGTCCAGGGTGGACTGGTGGGCAGGATGGAGGTTTGTCACTGCCTAGCAGCTGAACCTTTTTGGTGGACTGCAGCTGCAGGCTGAGCCTGCTGTGCTGGGAGCTGGGCTTTTCTTGCTGGGAGAATCCCTGAAACCCAACAGAAGTTCCCAGTTGCTCCCACCAGGAAAGAAGGGGAAGAAGCAGACAAAAGCTGAGACCCTAGGTAAAGGTCCTGTCCGGTCCTCGGGGCTCCTAGGCCCTGCTTGGGGCCCCTGCCCACATTTTGTGACTCCTCCTGTCACTAGTCACCATTGCTGAGGCCCCCTCCTGTCCTCCCCAGAATCACCGCCCACTCCAGGCTGGAGGAAGAGAAGTTCCCTTGCTCTGCTCCTCCTGGACCCTTGCCATAGGCTCTCTTCTTGCCACAGCAAGATCTTGGGAAGCAAAATGAGAGACCACCGCTGTGCTTCCTGAAGCTCTAGAGCTGGTGGCCGGGGAGATGTTTCCTGCAAGCCAAGGTCCTGAGGCAGTGAAGGAGCACTTCTGGAATCTTCCAGAAGAGCAGGGCAAGGCAGTGGGAGGGCTGGGGATGAGGCTGGTGGCAGTAGCAGCGGCTCTGCCAGATCTGCAATTATGAGCAAGCGGTTGAACCCCGACTTTTGTGGCCTTCAGCTTGAGCCTGTTGTCCTCCTGGTTGGTTGAAGGCACAGCCTGGTTCCCAGAGTTGCTGAGACAGCTGAGCTTTGTGCTACTGTACTTGGCCCAGCAAGAGGACACGGTCCTATGCAGATCATGGCTCCTCAGGGCAGATGCTACCTCTGCCAGGACCATCACCAGGTGCAGGTAAAAGCAAGGCATCCACCCCTCTGGCTGGTGCCTCACTTTTGAAAACAGAGTTTCCTCTGGCTGCTGCCTTTCCCTGCTCTGGATTCCCTAAGACAATCTTTGGTGGGAGCTCATAAGGTGGAGGAAAAGAGAAGAGGACCCAGGGGGACTCTGAGTGTCTGGTATCCTGGAGTCCAAGGGTGTGGTCTTATTGTGTTTACTGGGAAACTGAGGCCCCAAGCAGAGGCAGCTGAGAGGAATTAGAATCTCCCAACTTCAAAGTGGGCACTACTGTCTTGCCGTGTCCTCAGACTCCAGGGTCCAGCAGAAACCTCGGCACCCAGACGTCTCCTCCATTCGCCCTTGGCCTGTGATCTGACTTGCACAAGTCAGGGAGCCCCTGCCCTGAAGAAACCCGACCCAAGCAGAGAACCAACAGCTACTCCCTGCTGGGACCTGAGCCCCAGGTCCAGCCTAGGCCCCAAGTTCTTCCCCTGGTGGGGAACTGTAAACATCAAGGAGGCGGAGGCAGAAGGATCACAAGTTCAAGCCCAGCGTGGAAAATTTAAACATTTAGTGTGACCCTGCCCCCAGAACAAAACATAAGGGTTGAGGATGTAGCTCAGGGCCAGTCCTCTGTGCAGCAGGGCTCTCTCCCCGGGAACTCTCTGCCTTCTGGAGGCGCTGACTTGAAGAAGCTCAGAAATTCAGGCTGCTTAGTTCTCACTGGCTGTTGCTACTGCACTGGCTCTAACGCAACATCTGTCCATTTCTGAAACCTGGGTTTCCTGGGCGGGTCGGGTAGGGGTAAAGGGGGTGCCTGTTCCACATGATGTCCCATGTGCTGGGGAGTGGGAAGAGACAGGGTAGCCCCTATCCTGTCTACCACCAACCCTGCAGGGGGAAAGTGTGGAAGCCAAAGGAGAGGGGTGGGGGAGGACCAGCTTAGAGAGGGTGAGAGCTGCTCCCCTAGGGGGTGGGGAACCAGAGTGTGGGTCCCTCACATGGTCAATTCAGAGAGGTGATTCTGATCAGGGGGAAATTTTAGGAATGCCTCGACCAATGGATTTCCCTGATAGTTCTTTTTCATTTTATGTGTTTTTATGATATTACGGATTGAACCCAGGGCCTCGAGCTTACAAGGCAAGTCATACTTTATTAATGAACTAGCTAACTAATTTGCACAGTGTAGATATAGAAATCAGGGCATTGCACATACTTGCAAGCTGTTTACTGCTGGCCTAGCTCCTTGCTTTAAAAACTGTATATTCAGTGGTGATCTAGGGTAACAATGTGTGTGCCAAGGAGCTTGAAAGAAGCTCCTCCTCCGGTGAGAACAAAACACAGATTCCCGTATACAAGGGGGCGATGAGCTGCGGGGACAGGGCATACACCTGTGGCTTCATTAGCACAAGGAAAGATGTTTTTCTTGGCACTTCAGGAAGTAATTGTGTGTCTGAAGTCCAGGGTATCATGGGCCCCCGCTGTGTACGTTGTGGCCCTTCTGTCATTAACAAGCATTTGTCAGGCGTGGCAGGCGGTTCTGGTGCTGAGGCAGAGCCGGCCAGGTCTGAATTGGCACCTTGCCTGGATCTTGGAAGCCTGTGCTCTGACTTCCATCCTGAAGATGCAGATAAAGCTCAGAGATGTTAGGTAAGCTGCCCAGAGGCACACAGGTATCAGCAGCAGAATTTGGGTGACTTCAGCACTATGGGTCTCCAGTTCCCCGAAGTTCAGTTTGGGGACACCCAAAAGCCCCAGTGTTCTCCAATCTTTGCCCACCTCTAAGAAATCTTATCAGTTGTTTAAGTTCCTGTCCTGTGCCGGGCCCTGTGCTGGCCATGGTGCCACAGCCTCTGCTCAGGAGCTTACCTTGGGGACAGGCAGTGAAGCAGCCACAGTGAAATCCAGGAGATGATTCCATCAAGTGACCCATGCCAAGTGGAAGGTGAAGCAGGTGACAGGAGGTTGGAGGCTTGGAACCTGGATGGCGCTGGGTAGCATCCTAGCCAGAGGCTGACGTCCTAAGGCAGCTAGGATTGATGTGACCATGACCATGACCTGCAGGTGTGAAGAGGAGGAGGGCGGGAAATGCATTCAGAACCTCCTGGAAGGCAGCAGCAGGAGCCAGGAGGCGAGTCCCGCAACTGCTCCGCAGTTCAGAAGGGAGAAGCTCAGAAGGGAGAGCCCCAGGCAGAGCCTCCTGCGCGCTCTGCCCCTGGAGTTCAACAGGCGCTCCAGCTCCTGCCCCAGCGCTGCGGCAGCTCCAACCCGGCAGGCAATTTACCACCCCCCAATCCTTTCTTTTTCATAAGGTTGCAATTTTCTGCGTGCTTTAAGGACATTAGAGGGGCGTTCGACTGAGGCACCATGCGAAACGCATTAACTGGGATCCCAGGCTGAGCGGCTGCACTGAGGAGGGGCAGGTAGAGGTGGAACAGGAGACCTCACCGGCCTCAAGGGAGGGGGGACAGAGAGAGCAAACCCCGTAGGAGAGAAACACAGAGGTGGGGTGGTGGGGGGGCAGAGGAA